TTTAACTTTTTTATTTCGTTCCTTCCCTACCTTACTTAACTTAATTCTACGTAGTCTTATTAGTTTACTTTCTTCTTTCTTCCTTCCTTCCTTCCTTCCTTCCTTCCTTCCTTCCTTCCTTCCTTCTTCCTTCCTTCCTTCCTTCCTTCCTTCCTTCCTTCCTTCCTTCCTTCCTTCCTTCCTTCCTTTCTTCCTATCTTCTTTTCTTTCTATTGAGTTACAGTTGATTAACCAATGTTGTGTTAATATCTGGTGTACAGCATAGTGATTCAGTTACATATGTGTATGTATGTGGGCTCTGACCCACTTCCTTACCATTCACTGCCAACTCATGAGCAAGTCTCATCATTTTAACCCCCAAATTAACACATTTTTGGGTTTGTTTTAATTTGTTTGGGGGGTAAGGGGTATAATTGGGTTAATTAATTAATTAATTAATTATTTTTTATTATTTTAATGGAGGTACTAAGGATTGAACCCAGGACCTCATGCATGCCAAGCACACACTCTACCACTGAGCTATACCCTCCCCACCAATTAAATCTTGACTCTGTCTGCTCGTCACCAGTTCCACTCCTTACATCCAACTCTAATCTAGCTCCATCTCTTGTCAAGACTAAGGTGACACACTACTCCATGCTACCAGTCTTGCCCCTCAAAGAACTAGTCTCTCCCCAGCAGCAAGAAACTCAGTGTTTTCCCTCTTACTGGCCAGTGGGCATTGACCCCACTGTACTGTGAATGCAATAAAAAGTTGTCACTGTGACTGGCCAGGCCAGGTCCTGCATGGAGTGTCCCCTCTGTGCCTACCCATGTACCCTGATGCCCTCTCCCACCTCCCTCTCCATGCTCCTGCTGTGCCCCACACGCGGCTTGGCACCTGACAGCTCCTGAAACATGGGGAGAGCTTCCCTGAGCTCAGGCCCTGGAAACTACTGCATCCTCTGCCCATGATACTCTTCCCCCTACTTTTTATTTCTTTTAGCTTCTGTTTTGACAAGTTACAAATATGCAACAAGCACTTGGGTACCTACCACTGAAAATTGATGACTGTTACCATTTTGCCATTTTCCTTCAGATTTTAACCCAGAAAGACTGGAACAATATGAAGTCCCTCTTGTTTTTCCCCATGTTCCATGCCCCTTCCTCCTCACTCAGAATGAGTCATGGGTATTGACTGGTCCCGGCTCTGAACCCACTCCTCCCTCCTTTCTGACACAGCCCAGCCTCCCCCAACACTCTCACATGTTTCAGCAAAAGTCAATGGTAGCCTGATTGGGGCCAAGTGTTACCGAGTCCAAACTCATTCGGCTTGCCTCAGCACAAGCCAAGAAATCAGGAGACGAAGGGTTGAGGCAAGGAATAACGACTTTATATGGAAAGCCAGCAGACCGAGAAGACAGGGGACTAACATCTTGGAGAACCATCTTACCCAAGTCAGAATTCAAGCTCCTTTTATACTAAAAAGGGGAAGGGTGTGGTTGGTTGTTGCAAACTTCCTGGTGTCGGAATCCTGTTTTTGCAGCTGTCCACCTAGGTCAGGTCATGATGTTCCTGTAAATCTCCAACAAGACAAATGTTATTGTCTGTTCTGCAACTTTTTATCTCTGTATGAATGGGAGAGTATTATACCCTTAAAGGCCAGAGCCTTGAGAATGGGCTCTCCTGCATATTTCAGGCTATAGGCAACATTCTTTTACCAGAGGTGCAGAACTAGCATGACTAAGCACAGGAAACAGAGCACACGGTTAGAGCCAAAAGAACAGATCTCATGTGGTGTCAGATTTGTTCTTCCCGGTGTCACAAGGAGACAAGAGGGCAGGTTTCCGGGAGACTATGCTTCATTTTCCCCCAGGTTACACAGTGTGGACTGTAGCCCTTGTGGAGGCTCCTCCCTGCTATCCTGCCCTCAACTGTTTGCCTTGGAGAGCGGGACCCAAGAAACCAGGCTGGCTGAGTTTCTGATCCAGCGCCAAGGCAGGAACAAAACTGTGTTCTTGTTTGTTGAGTTCTCATCATCTGTCATCTGCTTATCTTGCATATCTGTCTGCTCAAAACTAAAACCAACAGCAAATCACAAATGGAAGGAAATAACTCTCTAAATGTCTCCATCCCTTTGTCTCCCAAGAATGAAAGAAAAAGGATTTTCCTTCTTTATGTAATCGTGCTTTGATTAGTGTATTATATGACTGTAAGTGTTTATACTCAGCACTAGGAAAATTGTAGTTACACAAGGTTAAGTCTGCATCCAACCAATTCAGAACTGACCCATTTCTCCTCTCTGCTCCTAGGTTGCGGGGTGTTTACTCTCCTGTCCTCTGTCACGGCTGCTGTCAGCGGTTTCCTGGTGGGGTATGAACTCGGGCTCATCTCTGGGGCTCTCCTTCAGATAAGAACCCTCTTAGCCCTGACCTGCCACGAGCAGGAGATGGTTGTGAGCTCCCTCCTCGTTGGGGCTTTACTGGCCTCTCTCGTCGGAGGGGTCCTGATTGACAGGTACGGAAGGAGGGCCGCCATCATCTTGTCGTCCTGCCTGCTTGGACTTGGAAGCCTAGTCTTGATCCTCAGCTTATCTTACACGACTCTGATAGCGGGACGCATCGCTATAGGGGTTTCCATTTCACTCTCTTCCATCGCCACTTGTGTGTACATCGCGGAAATTGCTCCCCAACACCGAAGAGGCCTTCTTGTGTCACTGAATGAACTGATGATCGTCATTGGCATTCTTTTTGCCTACATTTCAAATTACGCTTTTGCCAATGTTTCCCACGGCTGGAAGTACATGTTCGGCCTTGTCATTCCTTTGGGAGTTCTGCAAGCGATTGCCATGTACTTTCTTCCTCCGAGTCCTCGGTTTCTGGTGATGAAGGGACACGAGGAAGCTGCTAGCAAGGTTCTCGGAAAGTTGAGAGCCATCTCCGATACGACGGAGGAACTCACTGTGATTAAGTCTTCCCTGAAAGATGAATATCAGTATAGTTTTTGGGATCTGTTTCGTTCCAAGGACAACATGAGGGCTCGGGTAATGATAGGCTTAACATTGGTATTTTTTGTGCAAGTCACTGGGCAGCCAAACATACTGTTCTATGCATCAACTCTTTTGAAGTCTGTTGGCTTCCAGAGCAATGAGGCAGCTAGCCTCGCCTCCACGGGGGTTGGGGTTGTCAAGGTCATCAGCACCATCCCGGCCACCCTTCTTGTAGACCACGTTGGGAGCAAAACCTTCCTCTGTGTCGGCTCCTCCGTGATGGCAGTTTCACTGGTGACCATGGGCACTGTGAATCTCAAAATCCACATGAACTTCACCAATATCTGCAGACACCATAGTCCTATCAACCAATCCTTGGATGAGTCTGTGCTTTATGGACCAGGTAACCTGTCAGCCAGCAACGACAGTCTTAGAGAATCCTTTAGGGGGATGACTTCCCGCGGCAGAAGCTCACTGATGCCCACAAGAAATGACATGGATAAGAGAGGAGAGACGACCTTGGCATCCTCACCAAATGCTGGACTAAGCCGAACTGAGTACCAGATGGTCACAGACGCTGCCGATGTCCCAGCTTTTTTGAAGTGGCTGTCCTTAGCCAGCTTGCTTGTTTATGTTGCTGCATTTTCAATTGGGCTAGGACCAAGTAAGTATTTAATTTTTCATTCCTTCCTTCTCTGCCCTTATGAATGTCGTGTATTACTTTTGACCAATCAAAGCATCCTCCTGCCATTATAGTACTTCATACATAGAACTACCAGAAGCAAGATGGGGATAATATTGGCCACCTGATGTTTCTGTTGATGAGGAAAGTACATTTGGCTTATCTCTGCTTTGGGAAATGTGCAGGGCTAGTACTCAAGCAAGGATTAGTTTCTCATTATCTGTCACATGAGGATACTTTAATACCAATTGATTGGGAGTGAATCAGACTCTGAAAGATACTTATTGCCCAAGAGAATATATTGTTTTATGAAAGCAAAGTTTGCTGGGACAACATTTCCCTCCATATCATTCTGAGTTTTTTCATAAGTGGAAGAAAAAAAAGTGTTTAGATTTCCTTAAAGACACAATAGTGGAGGGGAGGGGATAGCACAAGTGGTAGAGGGTGTGTTTAGCATGCACAAGGTCCTGGGTTCAATCCCCAGTACCTCCTCTAAAAAATTAAATAAATCAATGTATCTAATTACCTCCCCCCTTAAAAAAAAGACACAATAGTGAATGCATGATACATTCCAGTAATAATGAAGAAGAAAGGAATTTAAAAGAAATTATTACAGGTAAGAAGATGCATTATTTCTTTAAGTACACTTGATCACTAGAGTAACCCCTCAGGATACTTTACTCTGCCTATTAAACAGGAGAAGGGGAGTCAAGGAGTACCCGTGGAACACAGTACGAACGGTTTATAGGGAGGTAGCTCCAAGGTGGTTTTATTTGATATAGTCAGTCTGTTCCAAAGACAAAGTTAAAACACTTCTCTTGAGCAAACTCTCTAGAATTTGCTAGAATAGTTTGTGTGTTGCAGTTCTTTCATTTTTCACCTCACATGCAGAGTCTAATCCTCTCTGTAGGGAAGTTGTGAGGTTTTTTACATCTCTCTAGAAAATGATGTGCTTAAAAATCAAGGGTGGTTTCCCTCTACCACCCTTAACTCCCACCATCACCTCTCATTCCTCTCCCTCCCCTTCCTTCCTCCTCACTTTCCTCTCTTACAGAGTTGATATTGTAACTTTTGTTTACAGTGATCAAGGAGCAGACAAATTTGCTCAAATGAAGGGACATGTTGGATGTTCAGAAACAGTAAGAAAACATAGGCTGTGTGGAAGGAGAAGGAATCGCATGGCCATAGGTTTCTGGTGCTGGCACCGGACTGTGCTTCTGGAAGGGCTTGCTGTAGTGATCCACTGTTAACTGTTCATTCAGATGATATGTACTGAGTGACTAATTTTTTTAATAACCGGGATCTATGCTCAGTGCTAGGGAAACAGTAATGAACAAGACAGGTATTGTCCCTGTCTTCAAGATGATTACAATCGAATGGTTGAATGGATTGAGCTGTGCCCCCAGGGTCTGCTTCTTTCTGGCCAGGAGCAGCAGGTTGGGCCTGCTTAATCTCAGTTAATTAGTAACTGGATTTGCACGTGGCCAATACAGCCTCTCCTCCAACTCCGTTTCCTCGTCTCTCAGTTTCTACTCCCATTTCTAAGTGAGATCAGTCTCTAGATATTGATTCACTCAAATTCCCGACAGGGAATCTGATCGACTCTGATCTTTGCTGTGCCAAGTCATAAACGATTGTTCTCATCCAATCAGCTGTGGAAAGATTGGACCACATGATCTAAAACACGGATGACCAGAGACTGTCCCTTCCTTTGGCACCATGAGTAGACAGATTTCCCCGTAAAACTCTGCAGGGGCAGACAGAGCAAACACTACAATGCCATCAGCCTCTGATCTCTCTGGCTTGTTCCTGGACCTTGAGCTTGCTTTTTAAGACTGAAAATGATAAACATCATTAGTGAGCAGGTTCCTGGAAACAGGTTTCTACCATTATGTCAAGGTTCAGCTATCTTGGGGGTGGACCTGTGAGATATTTGTCTTAACCAGTTTGAGTTGCTATGGCTTAGCCAACAAACATTTATTTTTCACAGTATGGAGGCTGGAAAGTTCAAAATCAAGGTGCCAGGAGATTCAGTTCTTGGTGGGGCCCTCTTTGGTTTGTAGATGGCAGATTGTTTGCTCTCTGGAGGGGAGAGTGAGAGAGAGCAAGCAAACTAGGTCTTTTGTGTCTCTTCTCATCAGGTCACTACCCCATCATGGAAGCATCACTCTCATGATCTAATTACCTCCCAAAGGCCCCATCTCTAAATATCACCACACTGAGGATTAGGGTTTTAACATACGACTTTTGAGGAGCCATAAACATTCAGTCAATAACAATACATGCATAGCTCCTCTGATAGCATAAATCTAATGAAATTTGAGTAAGCACATTTTTTTTACATTGTTATTTTCAGAAACTCTAAAGTCTATTAGAAGGGCAAGATACGAATGCCAGCTTGTACCAAGGAACAACTTAACCTTGTCTGTGACCCTTTCTGTATCAGTAAGTACAATAAGCTCTGCTCCTGTGATAAACTTCAGGTGGTATTTACTGTTCCACTGAGTTACCTGGCCAGCATCTTCCCTACCCCCTACCCCCCACATCTGTTCACCCTAGAACTAAATGTATTTCCTTTCTGCAACCATTTTCTTGATCTAATCTTTTGAAACATCAAGAACCAACAAAGAATCTAAGAAAAGGATGCTCTTTTTGTTTTCATTCAGAGAACCTCTCAGGTTGGCAGAGGTCAGAACATGGCACACATTATATTATGAGAGACACTGAACTTAAACTTCCAGAACCAACCTCTTCATGGTAAGAGTCCTCCCAAGCTCACCCTACTCTTCTTCTCTTCTGTTTTCTGGGTAACTTTGAAAAGTGCAGTAAATTCTCAGTCACTCACATATCATTTGATACATTATTGTATTAGAGCAAGAGTTCCCCTTTTCAGGAAACTCAGTCTGATTTTGGAAGAAAATGATGGGAGGCTGTTTGTTATCTACCTTTTAGAATTCCTCATATAGTGTTCTCCACTAGTTTTTTAAAAAAATATAATTTAAGTTTTAGAATCAACTAATATTTATTGATACCTCTTATGTCAAACACTGTGCTAGGAACTTTTTACATATTTTGGAGTACTTCATTTTATCTTCACGACAAGCTTGGGAAGAAAGAATTCACCAGATTTTATAAACAAAGACACTGTATCTCAGAGAAGTTAAGGGACTTACTCAAATAAATGAAAACATCTCTTGTCTTCTGAAATGTCCAAGACAGGAATAGGCAGAACTGTGTTGGTGTTGAGAGTAACTGATAATTGTTAGTTCAGTCCTCTGCAGAACTGTGTTGGTGTTGAGAGTAACTGATAATTGTTAGTTCAGTCCTCTCCTTGAAGATACATTTGAAATAAGAATGAATGAAAATAGTGTATCATTGTCCATTGCATGAGGCTATTCAATGGGCCACTCTGCATTTGATAAAAAGATAGAGACAGTCTCTCTTTTTCCGAAGCTCTGCTAGGTGAGTGAGCAGGTACCTTTTTCATAAGGCTGAACTGCAGGGGTGGAGAAGGAGGAAAATAAATGACAAGAATGCAGAAGGTTTTGGTGTGCATTTACTTGAATAACTGAACTTGATTCAAATAGTGATCAATGTGTATATTGGTTAGAATACAAGCTCGGCTATGACAAAGACCCCAAATAGCAATGCCTTAAACAAGATAAGAGTTTCTCTCCCTCTCTGTTAACAGCAGGAACTGGGCACTTCTAGGTGCTATGGAGGCTTTCAGACCAGGTACCGGAAGCCTCTCTGTAGTGTCTCCAGGTCTCCCCGTAGCCTGTGCTTTAACACTGGCTCTCAGTGTATCATTCCAGATGTTTAGAATACCAAGATGCATTTTAAAATTTCATCATCCTTTTCTAATAGCTAATGATCCCTTGAGAATAGGTGAAATGCACAAAGTACAGTCAATTAAAGGGAGGCTGGGTGTAGAAAGGCCTGGATAAGAAGACAGTGAGAGCAATTTTATCAGAAAAGGAAAACCACTGTGAATGATATGAAATAAGGAATTTCTTACAGGGATTGGACAGCACATAATTGTGGCAACCATTGAGAAAGCAAAGATCAGGAAGGGGATGGTTAGAGGAAAAGGAGGAAGTCACTAATCAGGGCCACAGGGAAAAGCGGGTGGAGATCATGGAAGCCTGTGGTCTCTGCATCTGGTGGCAGCCTGACATCTCTGCAGGTCAGCAGGGCAGATGTAGGAAAAGCTGGACTCAAAGCAGAGGGGAGCAAAGACAAGGGACCCTGCTAGGACAAACTGGACTTTGTAAGAAGAAACTGGAACCCACATCTGTCTCACCACGTCAGTTCTAACGATGTGGGCCACCTACAGAAAAGCTGGTGTCCTCCTCCACACAGCTTTGCCAAGAAGTTGGAAGAGGCAATCTGGGCACACTAGCTGCTCCCCCACCCCAGCAAGGAGAACCAGCAGATCATAACAGTGTTTCCAAACTGCACTGCTGCCCAGGGCACCAAGCTGAGTGTCACTTTGGACTTCTAAATCTCATGCTAATTTCTCTTCCTGCCAACCCTCACCCAGAACTACACAGGGGAGGGAATTCTGGGAAATGTAGTTCCAGCTTAGCTACTTTGACCCAGTACAAAATGGCCAGAGTGATGCACTCAGGGCTAAGAGAATAGATGCGAATCTAGAAAGAAATATGTCAGAATGCCAAAGGCCCTGTAGTCTGTCTTCAATTGCTGTAATAGACATTTATTTCTTTTCATTAAAACATGTCTTATAAAATATATGAGTAGATTCCATTCCATTCACTTCTTAAAAAGAGGTGAGGTCATTTCATTAGTGTCTCTTGGCTTTTGTTTCTTTAGCTATAAAACCAAAACACACTCTTTAGCTAATGCATTACAAAAACTTTCCTATTTATTTTCTCAGGACCGTTAATTGTCTCCCTTGAGCTGATGACTGTCACGTATCTCCAGTTCCGTCGCCTAACATGGCTTCTTGTTCTTTTTTCCCCAATGAGTGCTGGACTTTTCCATTTTGGTGCTTCGCTGTCAGTCAAACACAAAGAAGCCAATGCTGACTTCTCATTCCCCGCAGGCCAGGGGGAATTGCCTTTCTTTCCCATGAGTCAGTCACTCAGGTCTGATGTTCTGGGGCCGTTTCTCAATCCAGTCAATGACCAAATGCTCTTGGATTTTCCCTCACAAATGGTTCCTGTGTTTATCTTTTCCTTCCCGATTCTGCCATCCCAGTCTATCCTTTCCAGTCTCATTCCTAGATTACTGGGAGACTCTTCCTGTGGTGCTTTCCCCTTCCAGGCTTTTCCCATACCCATCCATCCTCCATATGAGAACTCCTTAAATACCTGGTTCCTCATGTCACCACAGCTCACAAATCTTCCATGGCTTCCCACTTTCTACCATATCAGAGAAGTCAAATGCCTTTCAAGATGGAAAGAAGATCAGAAATTATCTGGCCCAGTATTTTTCTTTTATAGAAGAAAAACAAAGTGCCCGGGGGCACCATTCTCTGTATCCCGTGTGGGATCTACAGGTACTATGTGAGTAGTTGCCCTGGAACACAACTCCACAGACTGTGATGTCCCCTGGAGTTGTGCAGACGCCCTGCTGGAGTTGTGGGAGATGATGGGGAACTTTGAAAATCATGCTACTTTTCCCTGCAGGATGAGAGATACAGTAGAAAGAGCATGGAATTAGGCTTCAGAAGCTCAGAGTTCTAAATCTGTGTGATCTCAACCTCTCAAAGTTTCTTTTTTTTTTTTTTTCATGGTCTTTATTTGTATGAAGTACTAGTTACTTCTAGCATAGAGCAGTTCTGGGCTACAAAGAACCTGAGTTTAAAGTCAGAAAACCTAGGTTCTAATCTCAGTTCTTCTGCCTACTGATTATGTGATTTTTAAGTCATCTATCTTCTCCAAAGCTGCCTCTAATCCGTGAATTGGACATAATAATACCCGTCCTATCTCGCAGCGTATAGGCCAGCATCAAGGGAGCAAGCGCATGTGCAGGTGCTTCGGATGCTGTAGCATATGATGTAAATGGAAGCTACCCTGTGATAACACAATTTAGTCCTTAGTGAAATAGTGTATTTAGTGTATTAATGTATTGCTTTGCAGGTTTGCTTGGTTTATTAACCACAATGTGGTTACTAGATTGTGAACTCTTTGAGGGGAGGAACGACATCTCATATTTTTTCCTTCTGTCCCTTTAAGCCAGCACTGTATAAATCTGCTTGAAAACCATGCAGAGTTGCAGTTCTGTTTCTAAGGAGGGGAGGAAGAGAAGAACTTTAAAACTAAGCTGAAGATGCAAGAAAGATCTCGAAGTGTGCTTCTCCACCTGTGTCAAGCTCTCTATCTAGTGGGTAGGCTAAGTATCACGGAAGCTAGGCACGCTAGGCTGCCACAGAAACTCCTGTTCCTCCTGAAACCATCACGTTTTTGCAAAACAATCCACCACGTGGGCATGAGTTCTAAAAAGCTCTCCCTGGTTTTGACTATAAGAAAAGATGCTGGGGTGTTAGCCGTGCTCAGAAACGAGTAAGTAGTTGGAGGCATTGAGGGTAGTTCTTTGTCAAGACATAAAGAATTTGGGGGGAATTTCAGACGCATAGAATCTAAAAGGAGTTCCAGATTTTGTTAGACACCTCAGCCTTTTGCTTTCACGTGGAGAAGAGAGTCTTTTTGGAGCATTTCTCAGAATGCAAGCAATATTGATGAGGTGGAGAATCTCAGGGTTGAAGGAGGTTTGGGTTTGAAAGAAGGAAATAACTCTTCATTGTTGTGTTTTCTTCAACTTGTAATTGCTGTTCCAAGGACTGTGGGGGATATCCATGCCTGAGGCTAGAAGGTAGTCGGCGGGAGACGGAATCCCTAACTTGCCCTCTAAGGAAAACAAGCACTTAATTCACATCCTATCAATTCTCCCAGAATTTTTAAAAGGAATCTGAATCACTGTCCTTTTTCCCTTTCCACCTGCTAAGAATTAGTCATTTATGTCCATATGCATGTTGTAGTTTATTTTTCCTTTTCTAAAGAAAACATACCATAAGAATTCCAATTCAATCACCAACAATTGTATTCTAGAGCACTGGCACGAACCAGTTGGAATTTAAAGAGGATTTTTATTAAGAGCAAGGTTTTTATACCAGATCCTGAATGCATTATAAAACTTATTAACCTGATGCGATTATTGCTCAGGTATTTCATTTCTAGAGTTTATGGCTTGTAATAGAAGTAAATCCTTCGTGTAAACAGAGGGATAAAGGGAAAAGTACTTGCTGTTCTAAAGGAAAATCAAAAGCAAGACTAAATCATCCGTATTAAATCTTTAAAAATATGGGTTGGCTAAGAACAACGGCATGTCTTAATTGTATCAGATCACAACACACGGTTTCTCCTGTCAAAAAAGTGTTTCTATTTTTAGGTAAAAGTGTACTTTCTGGTCCTCTGTTTCCCTGACTCTAAAATAATAATGTTACCCTCGAATCTAGAATTCAGGAGGGGGCATAAATTCATACTAAGTAACCCTCTGTACTTTATTTTATACACTAAAAATATCATTCTAAGAAAGACTCCTGAGGCTTCACCAGCCTGCCAAAGGGGCCCAGAGCCCAGAGAGAAGAGCCTCCACGCTCCATTTCTCTGGAACTGACACTAAACCTCTTCCATCAAATAAAATCAGAAATAGACCCCACTGCTTTTATTGGAGACTTTTACTAACCATTTTGTTTTCTACCCCTTCTCTTTCATTTTAAAATATATTCAAAA